AGACCGAGAGGTTGAGGTTGACACGTACAGATGTGTCGAGGTCGAACAAGATCGAGATATGGTTTAGGTCAACCATGGCCAAGATATGGTTGATGCTGAACAAGGTCGAGGTGTGTTGAGGTCGAACAAGGCTGAGATATGATTGAGGTCAAACAAGACTGAGATATGGATAAGATCGAATAAGTCGATATTACAAAAAAGTCTTTTTGCATTGCCATTAGACAGTTACTTAGTTTTAGTAAGTACGAATTGTACTCGACTCTAATAATCAACACCTAAGTGTGTTTTTACCTAATTTGAGATTAATTTTTGGTAAGTATGAATCGTACTCGACTCTAATAATCAACACCTAAGTGTGTTTTTACCTAATTTGAGATTAATATTAAGCACGAAGGATAATATGCTCTGTAAAGTTAAACTTACGTGTAAAGTTTGTTATAGTTGCTTTTGAATGAAGAGATTCCTTCAATGTTATTAAAGAACATTTAAGAATTGCTTATAAAAAAAACTAGGATCCCATAGTTTGTCTACTATTTATATAACTAAAAATTGATATGATTCTTTTTATTTTCTTCGCTTGTGATTCTTATTATCCTTATATTAAACTCAAAAAAGAAATGCTATAATTAATCACCAAGCATGCACAATTCAAGATATAGTTTCCAAGTACTTGAATCACATCAAATACCAATTACAATATTAATAACAACTACACACACTCATACCAACCAAACTCAGACTGCAACAATCATATGATGACACACATGCAATCACTACAAATATTCCCAAGCTATGATTACCACTTGTCAAAAATCAACAACATCCCCAGCCTATAGGAGTAATATGCATTAACACAAGCATACTGCACTTGCTCAGAAGAGAGATACTTGAGTTCCCAGATACTCAATGTAACATTCTTTGGCTTCTGAATTTCCTCTCCAATGAGTTTCTCCACCAAAGTCTTCAGCCCTGCTCTTTTGAACTCCTTGTGATCAAACTCCTCAGCTGCCCATAATCTTCCTTCAGCCGTTTTGCATCAGCAGAGATATCTTCACCCCACTGAACATTATGTTGGGGTTGCAAAGGGCTCTGTTGAGGGTCCTTGGGATGGAAGAAGCTTGGTAGAGTTGATAGATGAGGCAACAGTGTTTGATGCAAAGTTGTAAGATTGCAACAGGGTTCTGAACCCTGAAACTTGGACGCCATTCAATGGCAAGGCCAACCACCTTCTTCTGGAAGTTGCGTGGCGTTTGAAGATGGCATTTGATCCATGAAGAAACCACTTTGGGACATGAGGTCACCATGGTTGTGATGACACGCCTGTGAATGGTGACTTTATAGAGGGATACTGATCCTTTTCGATTATGCTGTTTCTCGATGCAGATTCCCATTGCTGGTGTAGGTTGAGGGATGATACGAGTTGAGGAATGTTTATAGGGAACATGCAGGGTTTTTTTGCTGATGGTGATGAACGTTTGTAGAGTTAGTAAAGTTATATATATTGATCAATAACTGTGAAGAAAAAACGATGGATAAGAATATGTGAACCATATTTGGCTAGTCACTGTGCTAGGAGCCTATAAGATGAAGCAGCTTCTCCTCCAAGGAGATAAAAGAGATCATTATGACAGTTAAAGTAAACACTCGTTAACAAAAAATTATCAAAAAAAGAGTCTAATTTTTTTTCCATTTTTTATTGTAAACGATGTATTATTATTTTATTAATTTGTTTAAATTTATTTTTAAAAAATATTTAAAATGAATCAATCACAAATTATTAGATGTTGTAAAAAAGTTATTAACAAAATGGTTAAAAATCATTTTTTGAACAATTTATTTCAGGAAATAAAGTTTAGTTGCTTTGTATAAACGTATAATAAGTCTTGAATGTGTAAACATATTAACTATTAATTTTTTTTTTTATTTTAGAGAAATTTTTTTACATGAAATAATATAAAAGAATTAAATAATATATTAAAATAAAAACTTATAAATTTATTAATTAATATAAAAATATTAAATATTATTTTAAAATAAAAAAATCATAAATTTATTACTTTAGGATTTTGAATTAAAAATAATATTACTTTTTTAAATTGACAGATTAAGGTTTTGTTTTCCCTGGTAAAAACTTTCTTTTTAGATACCCATCATAAATTGGAAAGTGTTTGCTTAGTCAATTACTTCAGTTCATATTTGATGACCATCAATGCGAGGAATGAACTGACTAATGTTATTAATAAATCTTTTGTAGAAAAAATGGTATTGATTATGGGTTAACTGAGTATTGAACTCGCATTATTTGAGGGAAAAAGCAGTGAATAGTTACATTAGAAAATGTTCTTTTAACAATTTTTTTATAACTTTTTTATAAATATGATTAATTTGATTCAAATCTACAAGCTATAAAATAGTAACATAATTTATTATTAAAAAAAATTGTTAACATGTCGTACGCAGTAAAGTTGAATAAGAAGAAAGCTGGAATGGGAAGAGGTGGGTATGGTTTTCATTATTTTATTTTTACTTTTAAAGTAAATATTTATTTTATCTTCATAGTCATACGGAAGGAGTATGAAATTTTTATATTATGCTTATCTCCATGAGTAATGCGTGTATTTGTATCCATTTTCTTACTATTCCAACATAGATTCAAATATATCTTAAAAAGAGAACTAGTTGTTCTAAAATATGAGAAGTTGGTACTTGAAATCTTAATATCTGATACTCCTTTTTTCTACAAA